GCCATAGCATCTCTCCAATGTGCATATTTGACTGCCTGGGAAAAACTAGTGGGCTCATCCACAGAGGAAATGGCCGCTAACAAGGCAATGTGAGCTTTAGAAAAGCGAGAATAGCACAAAGTGTGAGAGAGAGGGTGTATCGTCGAGTTGACTGATGGAGAGGCAGAGGGCGACGATGGATTATGACTGGACTGCAGAGAAGGTGACAAAGTGTAGTGATATCCAGTGAGGCGCTGAGAAACGTGTCGAGTACGTTTAGAGGGAATGTCCAAAGGTTGAGAAGAGGTATCCAGCATAGGGGAGGAGGAAGAAGATGGTGGATCTAAATGAATATCAGAGGATGGAGGTCATGGAGACGCAGTTGGAACCACAGGGGGAAATGGATCAGCGGAAGAATAGGTAAGATCAACCGTAACGGAGGGGGTAGGATGCGAAGGAGGTGAGGTGGATGGAAAAATATTTTCAAAGAAAATAACATCTCGGAAAGTGTATATTACCCGACGATCAAGATCATAAATCCTATACCCCTTTTGACCCTGTGGATAACCAATAAAAATTCTCGGACAACCACGAGAGGCAAATTTATCCCTAGGTTTGGCAGAAACATGAGCATAACACAAACAACCAAAACTACGCAAGTGATCATAGGAAGGTGGATGGCCATATAAAAGTTCATAAGGAGTTTTATTATGCAACACAGATAATGGCATACGATTAATTAAGTATGCAGCAGTGAGAATGCATTCCCCCCAAAAATCAATTGGCAAATTTGCCTGAAAACGCAAGGCCCTTGCGACTTCTAAGAGATGCCTATGTTTGCGCTCAACTACCCCGTTTTGCTAAGGAGTATGAGGGCAGCTAGTTTGTTTTTCAATCCCATGATCAAAAAAATGAGACAACAAGGAAAAATGAGAAAACTCGAGACCATTATCAGTATAGAAAACTTTAATTTTGGCATTACACTGTGTATGAACCCAGTTAAAAAATAGTAACAAATAGCGCTTAGTTTCAGATTTAGAGCGCATAAGAAAAACCCAAGTTACTCGACTGTAATCATCAACAATAGTGAGAAAATAATGCGCACCAGATTTAGACGAAGTGGGATAAGGTCCCCAAATATCACAATGCACTAAATAAAAAATGTTCGAACTTTTATTTTGATGCAAAGGAAATGGTAAACGAGTTTGTTTAGCACGACAGCATGCATCACAGGCAGATGTGCTGGAAGGATTAAAAGCAACGAAAATGCGAGGAATTAAAGAAAGACGAGTAACCAGCAGATGCCCCAAACGACAATGCCACATAGTTGTTGTATCGCCTTTGCAAACAGAAAGAATCTGCTTCTCGCCACCAGCCTTCATGGGGTCGAGGTAATATAATCCATCGCGTACTTTACTTATTCCAATCAGCCTCCTCGAGGTTAAAACCTGTATAAAGAATAAGTCAGGGCCAAAAGTGAAAAAGCAATTCAAATCTCTTGTCAACCGACTAACAGAGATCAAGTTGAAATGGAAATTAGGCACGCCCAAAACATTATCTAGATGTAGAAAATCATCAAGCTTAATACGACCAACGGCTTGAACGGGAACCTGTTCACCATTAGGTATTTGAACAAAAAGAGAACCCTGGGGAAAATTGACATCCGTCATAGATTGCAACTGATAAGCGTGATCGGTAGCACCCGAATCACACACCCAAGCAGCAGGCTTACCCACGGAAGACAATTGATTAGCAGTTGAGGGCTTAGCCACGTCGGAAGAGACTTGTTGGCCAAGCATTTGGAATAATTGCTGGAGTTGGGCGGCGGATAATGAAGCCAATGGAGCAAATGAAGGCTGAGGTGACACTGGATCAGCAGGAGCAACTAGATTTGAAACCGAAGACCCACGCGATTGAGACTGGACCTCCCGTTTCTGTCGAGGTTTTTGCCAACCAGGAGGATACCCGACAAACGCATAACATGATTCCCTGGAGTGATTCAATCGACCAAAGTGGCTGCAGGGAGGCTTGGCACCGGCAGAATCGCGAGCTTCTCAACAAACCGGGGAACTCTTCACAGCCAGAGTTGCAGCGTCAACAATCGGAAGCCGAGAATCAGCCAAATGTTGTTGTTTTTCGTCGCTAGCAACAATAGCATGCGCCCTGCCAAGTGTATGAAGAGGATCGAGGGCAAGAATCTGAGATCGGACTGTCTTGTATGTGTCATCAAGTCCCATCAGAAAGTCAAAAACTTTCTCCTCTTAAGTCAAGGTTTGAAGCTGCTTGTTCAAATCACACGTATAGCCGCCGCATTCACAAGCAGGAAAGGGGCACAAATTTTGGAGTTCGTTCCAGGTCGCTTTGAGTTTGCCATAGTACGTGGAAGTGAGAGATCGTTCCTGTTGGAGCAAGGCAATGGAACATTTCAATTCATACAACCGGGGAGCCAAGCCTTGTGTAAAGCATTCATCAAAATCCTCCCAAATTGCTTGAGCTGTGGGAACGTGAGTGGCTTCGGTTTGAAGCTCCTTGCAAACTGTGTTGAGAAGCCACGACTTGATCAATGCGTTGCATTGAATCCAGGACTGCAGGTCGGCAGAATCAGCAGCCGGCATAGGAATTGACCCATCAACAAAGCCGGCTTTGTTCTTGGATTGAAGAGCGGTGAGGAAGCTACTCCGCCAAGCGAAGAAGTTGTCTCCGTTCTCGGCCAAGGGTTGGGTGACAAAGTTCAAACCCAGATGATCAGACGGGTGAACGTAAAAGGGGGAACGAGGATCAACCAAAGTAGTTGCAGGTCTGGTTTGTCAGCCAAAACCATATCCAAAGGGCCGGTGGTTTTGTCAGCCGTCTTCGTACAGAAAGAAGGAGCAGACGGCTGAAAAAAAAACTGTGAAATCGGCCGCCGAATTTGGAGATTTTAGGGTTTGTAAAAACCTAGTCTCGTGATACCATAAAGAGTTGGTAAAATCACACTTGTATTGATGTACACAGGGATATATTTATACACACATTGAACAAGTTAATAAACCCTAATCGTAATAGTAAATACAACTATTTACGAGTTACTCCTTTATGTTCGAGGGTAGCTGTGTAAAAGAAGAAATCGTCGAGCACTTGGACATTTTGATTTTTGAGAAGCCCGTGCTGTCCTGGAAGGAAAATCCCTTCCTCAAAGACCAGAGTTAAGGAGTAATGTAACAAGGGGAGGAATGATAGCAAGCGGATTCGCGAAAGTAGCCAATTTCCTTTGATAAGCGCAACTACAAAACCTCCAATGAATGTTGACACCGGCTGTATAGACATGCCCACCCGAAACACTTTTCCAAGGAAATCAAGTGTATCAAGTTTTTAATAGTTGCAACTAGAGTCAGAATATATGTACTATGCTCTCTCACATTTTAACTGTGCAGTATTACAATGCTCGAGAATTTTGGTGCCATAGTATCTTGTATGAGAACAATGGCACTGCATATCCTACAAGTAGCTTCTCCTTTATTTGATTTCCTTGTCAAGTAAACTGATCTCGTGGCACGAAGTCATTTTGGATTCCTTCTATGAAGCTCCCAATCCACTTCGTGAAAGAATCCCTCCAGCAAGTGCAACACTAGCAGGTACAAGTACTATTACTAACACTACTGTTTTCGGGATTTATTGCTTGAACAGCCTTGTTGATGATTTTGCTGAAATCTGTCCCTCTGTTTTACATTAAAATGATTCACAAATACTTCATTTTCTCCCGTATTGTAGCGATCGTGCCAGTAGTTGTTCTTCTGATGTTTCTGTTCATCTTGATAATTACTGGCATTATTTAAGTTCTAGAAAAAATAATTTTGTAGTTTACCTCTTTGAAGTAGTTCCTTCAAGGAAGAAAAATTTTTCTTCCTCCGATGAGTTGTCCAGTTCTTCCTCCAGGCTGAAAAACAACTAGAGCAACAATCATAACAAATAGTTCTTCCTCTGGCCCGTCTGTCAATTCCCTTGATAACGATTTCGGGTTTAATTTTCTTAATTTTTTATGTATAGAAATTATAAGGGTGTTATTTTCAATTCAATATATTTTATCTTTTATGATTTTTGACAAATAAGTTTCTGCCCTTTATAACACATTCTTCAAAATCATACCTCATTTATTAATTTGACTTGTTCCATTGCCCTTGAGCCAAATTTTCTACCCCCCCAAAAAAAAAAGAAAAGAAAGACTTTAAAAAATTATTAGTATTACTATCTCATCCACCTTTACTTTTTACTGTATCATCTTAAATACTATCAATTTATCTTGTTCGGCCTCCTAATCCCATCCTTTAAAACAACAACAGGAAAGTTTCATGTGAAGGATAAAATATCCTTTAAATCCATACCAAATTCCCAACCTTCAAATTTTTCGTTGGTTTATTACCATTAAATATCCTTTATATATTATGTTCTCGTCGAAATTTAATTCCCACACAATAATTTCGAGCTGTACGTGTTTTAAGTTATAATTCTCCAAAGTTCACTTTTTTTGCCACCTTGCACACTCGGTCTGTCGGTCATTTTTGGGAGCTAATTTTAGGTCGGAGTTAATTGATTCTCCTTCTGTTATAAAATAATTATCTAATTTAGATTTTCACTTTTAGTACCAAATTGGACAATCATATTGAAATGAAGAGAGCATGTTTCCAATGTATATAAATCAATAACAAAACCTCAATACTCATAACTCATATGTATTTCTAATGTACTTGATATTTTAGTTTCTTTCGCGTGTAAATTTAACTCGCCTTTTACAACAAATAACGATTGGAAACTGAAATTCGTGATCAGATCACATATCTCACTTTTCGTGTAACGTTAACAAATTACAAGTATTATTTATTTCAGGTTAAAGTATTGTATTTACAGATAAAACAGCTCGTTTTGCTAGTGAGATACGGTTAGTACATAGAAGATCTCTCATCTCACTTGGAATGCCAATTTGGAGGGACATGATTCTGAACACAGGAACAACCATGACACGATGGATTGCAGAATCTGCATACCTAGAATAGGTCCAAGGATTGGGTAAGCACTCCGTCATCATTCCAGTCGACATCTTTTGCATTCGAATCCTTCCCAATTAGCTTAAGAGGAGCCTCTAAAGGTGGTGGACTCTGCAAGAAATCACTCAATTCTCAATCAGTTCTTAAAGTTTTGTTAAGAGTGATGGAAACAAAAGGCCTGTAAGAATTGAAGAAAGAAAGGGCGAGTACCATGTTTCGAATGAGGGGCCAATTTATTCCGCGGAAGAAAGGGTGGTCTTTTATCTGATTTGCTCCACCATTTGACCCCAAGCGGCTGCCAGGATCTCTCTGTAACAATGCGTTTATTAACTGCCGCGCAGCAAGGCTTACCTACCATCCAAAAACATCAAAGTCATTCACTCTACATGTACACATTGTTATATGTTGGAACACAGAGAAAGGCCTTTATGTAAGCTAAAATTGATGACAGATGATGCTTATGGGTCAGTCTTTTGCTTCCTATACTTTCACGAGTAGCTCTGTAACTTAGATCACTAAGAGACACTGTAAACACAATGTGTAGTTTCCTTTAAGGGCAGACCCTTAAAAGAAATATTTAAGTGAAAGGCGCAACAGCTTGAGCAGCAGTTCGGATGCTGTTTCAGGTTCATTATCATCCCTAAGTCAATTCCAAGTTTCTCTACCGCTCAAGTACACAGAAGCGATAATTACAATGGTTAATGATTAACTTTTGTTTTAGTCTTCACCAAAGACTTTTGTTTTAGTCGTTTAGAAGTAAAGATGACAAAGTTATGTGTTATCTGCAATGTGTTTTACCGGGATGCTGCTGGGAAAAGTAAGGTCTTTGTGCAAAATGTTGGCAAATGTTTTCTGTCTATTCTTTCCCCTGAAAGGTGTACGACCATAGAGCATCTCATAGAGCAAAATACCTGTCAAATTCAGAAGTGATTAGTATTTCTTATACCTACATGGTAATAAGCATATCAATGGACAATTTACAGAAACACCACAACAGGGCGGACTTAAGGATGAATTTAATTACTACTCTTTTAACTTTTAATCATGTGAAGAAAACTAGAGATATAAAACCATCCGAAAGACATTTCTGTTAATTCCTCCCCCGGAGAGGGAAAAGAAGTTTTGAGCAATCTTTGAGAGAAGCGTAATTTACATATCAGTATTCTGTTACTGATTGAAATGAATGAACTGGATGGATTAGAGAACCGAGAGCATATGGGTATTCAAGAGCTTACCAAGAGCCCACCAATCAATTGCACTACTGTGGCCTTCTCCAGTAATGATTTCCTGATATCAATCAATAACAGAAATTCAACAGGCATGTCCAAACGAGATACCAAATGGAGAAACAAGAATCTGAAACAGCCGTTTGCTAGAAAACAGCTTAGAGTTATGTTCGACTATCCCGAAATTATATTTCAAGGCCATATATATTCCTTTGGAATATGACAAGACATTTGTGAAATGGTGACAAGAATTTGAAACTTGTGACACTGGTAATGAAATGAAATGATACCAGTTAAGCAATAAATGAAAACCATAAGGTCTGCCCTTCAGCTAAAATACTAGTAGAATTCTAGGAGTGACAATGAGATACATGCGTAAATGATGATATGGCATACCGGAGCAATGTATTCTTCAGTCCCCACGAAAGAGTTTGATTGTGTAACTGGTTCCGCAACGAATGTTGGTGGCGGTTCGCTCCTAGATCGTCTTTTAGGTCGTTGATGCTTTATGACCTGATTCACACCAATGTCACAGCAATAAACGATTTGGTTATGATCATATTTCTGTTACAATTTCTTTCCTTTTTGCTTTTCCTCTATCATGCTGCAATCAAAGAATCTAGTGGTACGAGAATACTGCTGGTTCTTTTCGTTAATTACTATAAAATTTTCTTCGCAGCCTAGAAGACAATATTTGAAGAAGTAGTAGTTCTTCCCCAACAGACATTAGTTCATGTTCATAATGCTCCCTTATAACTATCAGTCTATCACCAATGCTATTGAAATTTCAGTCCAGAGAAGTTTAAGAAATGAACAAAAGTTTTAGCAGAAGAAAATCGATGAAAGGATGGTTTTATCTTGTTATTCTGTATTCAGTATTTTCGCTAGATGATGACCATATCCAGCATCCCTCTACCGGGGAATAATAAGGTATGTGAAAGTCATACTTGTGGTTTACAGGTCGTCTTAAAGGATAGATCAAAATCTGTTAACACGACATGCCCATCCTCTTGGAGTAGCAAATTTTCTGGTTTTAGGTCTCGGTAGATGATTCCTGCGGCAAAACAAAGAGTAAGAAAAAACAGTGAACTGAAAGGAATACTAGACTACGAAATTTCATCACTTCTTAAGCTCATTTTGGAAGGCATAATAGACCTTGCCTCCAAAACAATACATAGAAGCTAATCAACTGTAAGAAACTTGGATTTCTCTGCGATTGAAACTTCACAGTTATCATAACCTCAAGCTCGATAAAATTACAGTGAGGCAACACAATCTCACTTGGTTAACTTAGACCATCATAAGGATAACAAACTTCAAATGCGAAACTACAGACTTTGATTTTTGAAAACTCAGCAAAAATTTACACAGTTACAAATCTGCAGAAATGTACCTAAACAGTGGAGATATTCCAAGCCAATTACAACCTCTGCTGCATAGAACCTGGGAAGCATAGAAAGTAACAGTTAAGCAGGTATTCTTTTACTTGGCTTGTTAGACAAAATTTATAACAAGGTTGCAAATTAAAATATTAACAAGCTCATTTGGAGCAGTCTACCATGCTGATTGGGACCTGGGTGGCTATGTTTAAGGTGGTATTGGAACGATTCAAACAATGACAAGAAAAACAAAATGATAACTTCGTTTGATGGAACTAGTCTCCCTCTATAGACACTATTTTTCTTCTTGCACCATAGCCAGCCAGTGGCAAAGTGCTTCATCTGATATCCTTTGTTGCTTAGAACATCTGGCGATTTTTCAAAAATTTGTAGGTTAACTAGAATAATCACCGGAGATACCCTACTTGAGATATATATGAGGAAGAGATATTGATGTGCTTCTGCCTTTAGTGGCGTGGATAAAAATATTTCATTTCAGAACTGGAGGAGTTGATTCAATTAATCTCATTAGTTCAAAAGAAAATACCTAGCAGACTCCTCTTTGAATATTTTCATTGGCTGTTTGTCAAGCAAGGCAAACAATTCTCCACCAGGGCAGAAATCCGTTATCAAGCAAACATGTGTAGGTGTCTGGTACAACAAAAAAACTGTCAGGTCCAGTGAACTCAGCTAGCAGCACTATTTAAACAGAAACCAAGCTGCAAAGACCAACATCAGTAAACAGACAATAACAGATTAGACTTAACCTACAAGTTACAAACCTGAAAAGAGGCATAGAGCGTTGGAAGGAAAGGATGGTCGAGCAGAGCAATGATTTCCCTTTCCATGCATGCTCTATGAACCTGGCAGTAGACGGATAACTTCTGTGAGTACTTAAATTATCTTCTAACAGGAAGCAAACAACCAGGATGATATCCAGGATTCTATTGAACAATAATCCCTGGAAAGGAATTATCATTTTTCAGGACAAGATGGTGTCTGATTAGTAGCCTAACCTTGTTGCGGCTCATCATTAATGCTTTATCCATTGCCTTCATAGCATATAGTTTGTTCGTTCCTCTCAATTCCACCAGATGAACACTGCATCATTTATCAGTAGGGGTTCAGATGATATGGTCGCATAATTTTATCAGTCAAGAAAGTGGAACAGAAATATAGATCAGAACAATACTGATAAAGTAAAACATCAATGAAATGCTTTGAGTAATAGTCATATTACTGTGTCCAGAAACGCCAAAAAAAAAAAAGAAACTATACATACCTGCCAGTGTCTCCACACCCCAAAGGCCGTATCGGTTTCAGATGATGAAGTCCAATTGTTTCGCCATTTGCTGTAATCTAAGAGCCAAAAGGGAAAAGGAAGTCGCCTTAATATAAATAAAGAGGTTTTAAAGGATCATGTTCAACAAGCTAAAATGATGCTAGCCATGATCCTATGACATTTTAAATAACAAACAGTACTAATTCATGCAGAGAATTAGGAATCCATGAAAGAAGTCACAGCAGCGCAAAATCAGTGGTAATATACATCTTCCAGATGTTCATGTGTAATAACTAGGGGCAAAAATAGTGCATTACAATGGTAAAGTTTTGAAAGTTGTGGAAGTTGTCTTCCTTGTCCATGTTAAATGAAAACAATCACTGTCGACTTTGACTGCACTGTTAACTTGTTACCTTCTGAATGGCTGCCCAAGAAGTGCTGTAGCGTTTGTGAGGCCTCGGAAAAACAGGTTGAGAGTGAACTGCCCACAAGTCTTCTGGTCTCTGAAAATAGTTGCACACAAATTTTCATCAATGATAATATCATTGGAAGCTCATGTAATGATTGGAAGGACTGAAATCTAAGCAAACTGGTAAGGATTCGCAATTTAAACTTTTTGTAAGAATGGTTCTGAATTGATTGAAGACCTCCCAATGCTGTTTAAATATACCAGATTCGCAACATCCTTTCATAACTGAGCTTTGATATGAAAGCATGCAAATTAGACAGAGCTTTGAGATTTTCCTTTTTAACTTTACGAATTGCCATTCCAAATTAAAATGAGAGTGAAAGGAATACCTTACCAAGTTGGCATCTGGTAGCTCTCGAACAGCTTCATCGACATTTTCTGCAGTAGCTTTGACCTGCAAAGAAGAAGAAAAAGTTTCCAAACATAAATGCTGGTCAGCTAACCAATGTAACCGAACACAATGCCAATTTCAAGTAGTCGCATATGAACATTTTTGGTATTCCAAGGTGCCTATTGATGCTTAGTCCAAAAAGTTACGCCACTAACCTAAACTTAAACAGAAATGGAAAATGAGATAGAAACTTTACTTTTATAACTAACAGGAGTTATCTTTGTGATAATTTTCAATGCATTAATTAATAACACTAATTTGGAGAGTGTAAATAAGAAATGGGCACAGAGAGGAAATAGAGACAGCCGTATCAAACAAAAGTTAATTGTTGTAGAAAGATCCCGTAACACAGGATTAAATTATAATGATATCAGGAAAATAACCGAAGCAAGCTGACATTTAGCAGAAAACTTACTATTTTAGCACTTTTTTGTTCAGTTGTCTCTGAAAGTCTGTTTCTCAAAGGTTCAACATGATCACTTCCATCAAGTTGCACACCAATGAAGTACTGAAGCTCTCCCTGTGATAGTTGAAAGAACCTTTAGCAAAGATGCATAGGACACGACTCAGCCTAATGGCTTTAACACTCAACTGGTCACTTTGCTGGTTACAAGGCTTACCTTTTGATCCCGCATGGGTTGCAAATGAAATAGATTCCAAAATTTCTTACCTACAAACCAATGATGAGTTCTGAAACGCTGTGCAACACATCGAAACCAAGCACACAATTTGTTTTTATTCAAAGATTATGTTCATCTTACCACTCTTGGTGTAGTTAATCAACTGAACAGTAATTTCTGTTTGATCTCTGATTGCATCTCGTATCCTTGAAACAGTTGCTTGGTCTGTCTCTGGCCCCTGAAGGAATCTACAAAAGGAAAAAGAGTTTAGAGGCGATTACAAGCAGTTTCAGTTCAGTCACAATTTGTAAGAATCCTGCTGTTTGAATATATGTTTCGAAACCACTGAAAGCTAGAAGAAGTGTTATTTCTTATACAAACTATACTCATTTTGTGAGTATCATTGGATTCAATAGCAATGAACCATTTAATTGACTGAGCTTTTGTAACCAATTTTAGTCTGTTAAATATATTGCTTGCAGAGTGAAAAACAGCGTGATGGTTCTCAATATGACAGGACCTGATGGATGGTAAGGATCACCAAGAAGCAAAGAACCAAGCATGAAACGTTGTCACTGTGGCTTATTATTCCAAAGGTAAGCCAACTAGCATAAATATGAGGAAGACGAAGGAAATGATTAGAATCTACGCACATGATAGCATGATAGATTGCAATCCTCACCTGCAGTTTCTTCCTAAAATTTCCTCTCTCGAGTACTCTGTCAACTCTAAAAAGCTATCAGATGCGTAAATCTGCAGAAGAGGCCATAAGCTTAGTAAATATACTAACCTGAAGAAAATCCATTCTCTGGGGCTAAATGCAGTATGTCTATAAATGAGTTGATCTATACTTCAAAAGAATTTGATGATTTGGATCTCAAGTTTGAGGTGATCTTACAATCGGGTTATCAGGAAGTCTTGGATCAGTAATGACAAAATTCTTTTCTATTCTTTCTAATGTAGTTGCTAGGTCGATCCCCTGGCGTATGTCCCTTTCTCTTTCAGCTCTTTCCCAACTATCTGTTCGTTCTATGTCCCTAGTCATCAAAACTTCTGGTTCAACCATTGGTTCTGGCCTCTCTACAGTGCTTGCAGACCTCTTCTTGAACCTGCAAAAGTTAACAGCTTCTTCTGAGGACTGATATTGATCAAGAACTTCTTTTCTGGAATCATTGACCTTTCTTCTGAACATAAACTGTGTAGGCACTGAGAATATTAAGTTATCAAAGTTGATTTCCAGTTAAAAGAAGGGACTCGTTTCAGCAATGCATATTTTCCTGTATCATGATATCGAGCTCTACTGAAAGAAACATCACTGGTAATTATCTTTGGAAGAACCACACAATGGATCCACTTCAGAACATTAATTTGCCAATATCTTAGAACTTAGAGAGACATCATATCTTGCAGTATGAACTGCATTATGTTTTTGGTACCTTATGCTGCATTTGAGAAAAAAATTATTAACTGGCAAATCACCTGAATCATCACAGGCCATATGGATAAACCTGCACTATCACTTGTTCTTGTTGTTTTCGGTTTTGACAAGCAAATAATCATAAAATTTCCTTCCTAGGACTTTCATGGCTAACTGGAATAGTTAACTAACTGTGTTCATTCGATTACTTGATGTTCTCGATGCCATGGCAAAATATTGAAGAAGGCATCTATATTATGGACATACCCCATTAAGGAAATTCGCGCCGACTTCCTGGACTTTTTGTCCACGTCCCAGTGAGGTGTTTGCCTACCAGGTGTGCTATTGCTATCGATTCCAGCAGGTTCAGGAAGCATGAATTCAAGCTTAAGCTTCTCACTTTGACTCTTGAGATTAACATCATGACTCACAGACCTTGCATGCGCACGTGGATGTTTCACTGTCTGCACGACCTCAGTGATGGAACCTAACGCCTTTTCCTTTTGTCGAGCTGACATATTCACACGAGAATCATTTCAAAATTCAGGTCATCTACGCACAGCACATGAATTCCTTTAAACTTACCATCATAGCGGATAAGTGACTTGGGAAGCCCATTTGGTCGAAGAGCATTGTCATTCACACCTTCCGTATACTTACTGACCTCAACCTGCATCCTGCAACAATTGAAAATGGCTTAATATCAGGAGAATTGTAAGATATCCAGTCTGTTCAGTTGCAAGAACGTATTGCATTCACCACCAAGACGCCTACGGCACATGAGATATTCATGTCTAGCTCAAAAATTTACACAAATCGACCAGAGTTCAAGAGTTTAGCATTCCCCAAAGAAAACAGCAGGGAAATTAGCAGATATGTAAATTAACTGGCAAGTATGTTAGTCAACTATACTAAAGGCTAGAATAAAATAGAGCGCTTCATATAACTTTTGGCTGGGAATATCTAACAACACCACATGAAATGTGGTTACATACATGTGGTTATATACATGTCAAAATTGAAAACCACAGCTAATGTACCTTTTCAACAATCAGAACTTACTGTTAGCAGGTTATAACCTTTGCTCTTAGGTAAAGCAATCAGATTTGTAAAATACTCGGGAAGTATTTTCATTTTTTAGATTATACTGCTGATTTATTTGCTTGCAATTTAAAGGCTAAAACTAATTCACTCAACATTGTTAACGCTTTAGATCAGTGAATCTCGCCACAGTTCTGTCAGGCAACTCACATAACAATCTTTTACAAAGCACCCCCCAAAAAAAAAAAACAAAAAACTCACGCAGCAATCAATTTGGAACATCCAAAGTTCTACTCTGAGATGCCACACAGTATACTGACAAACCAGCATTGTATCCTAACTTATGTGTACTTGTAGCTAAATTTAAGTAGCTGTATATATGCAATTGATTCCAAATGTAGGAATCTTCATGTATCAAGAATTGAGAACAAACATTTGCTCTTGAAGTCATCGAGAAAGATGATGATCCGTTGAGACTAGAAACAGCCATGAAATGTTCAGAAGGAACACACAAATCGAAATTCAGGCTAAATGGCAGACCATATTCTTTTCTCTAAGAAGCAGAAAGCCAGCTAGTTATTACCCCAAGAGTGAACACAAACAGATAATTGCAAAAACATAAAACATCATCTTTACCCGATAAATTTTATAACTTTTCCTTTATCATTTTTGATAGGAGTGACTGTTAGCAAATTCCAGAAAGGAGTGCCATCCTTTTTGTAGTTCAATAGCCTGCCACAATAGCTTTTTCCTGTTCTCACAGCAGTTCGAATCTTATCCACCTCATCCTGATCTGTTTCAGGTCCCTGTAGAAAACGGCTACACAAAACAAGCATTTTTTTGTCACGCAATGTATATTATATTTTACAAATAAGATGAAGGAGGACATGGATTCTAACAGATTGGAAATTGCAGATAATTCTAGCCTATGTTCCAACATAAGTTCGGCGATAATCATAAGCGCATTGTACAGTCTTAGGTGCTGCATTGCCCAAGAAAAATCTAAGGCCACAAGTATTAAAAGTTTAGGTTGAGCTCATAGGCCAACTGTGTACACAAGTGTGAGTATGTCCACAGAAAAACAATTTGTAAGATTATCCAGTCGGAGCAGAGGATTTATCAGGCAACTTCATACGAATCAATTTCTTGCAAAAACTCTACCATATGTATTCAAGTACTGCAGATATATATGACCTGATAATAATGCTCCTATTTATGATGCAAAGTTCCAAAGTCTAACGCACTTAACACGGCACATATGCAATATCACAAAACATCCTTACCAGTTTCTTCCAATCACCTCCTTAGATGAGTATCCAGTCATGTCAAAAAAGCCACTGCTGGCATACATAATGGGACAATCCGGTTTAGTTGCATCAGACACCACGAAAGTCTGTTGCAATGAGGACAAAGCATCCTTTAACTCCTGGGAAACTCTTGGAACAGCTTCAGATTCCTCATCAGGGCCTCTTTCCGATGAACTCCTCCTTCGTTCCCCTGCTCCGGCAGAGCTGATTTCATTCGAGTCTCTCATATGAAAACTCGTTCCTGAATCTGACCTGACCACAAATCCCCATTCTGCAGACCTTTCCTCAATTGTAGCTCCAGAATTCGCATCAGTACTCTGAGAAGAACCCGGTTCCGTCGCTTTAAACGCCATCCACCTATCCGAAACCTCTTTATCATCCTTAGTTTCTCCAACTTTTCCAGAATCTTCACCTACCCTTTTAAGCACTTCCACATTGAACCCTTCTTTCTTGGTCTCAGGCTGCTTTTCATCGCCATAACTCGATGACGACGGTTTAAACACATCAATGGAAGCTCGATTGTTCAAACCTGATGTAGCAGATGACTCCATTTCAGTACTCCAACTTCAAACCATATATTATCACCCACAATTTGAAGTAATCCAGGAAGACAGAAATCATCAAATTCCACTCAACAATAATCAGCAAACCCGAAACAATTTCGCGTAAAATTGAATTCCAGCTTCAGAAAATCAATACAATTCAACTTCAAGTGGCAATCGGAGAATGTTTACTTAGCTAGAATAACACAACTTTAACAACTGGCTCAGCAGTAAAATGAAGAATGAAATTTGAACAAATTGGAGGCAAGTAAAGTACTAATATGAGCTTTAAATTTTTACATGGGAAATTTGAACCAGAAACAGCAGATAATTGGGTAGATAACGTTTCAGAAGAAATAAATAGAAAATCAAATTGGGGAATTTACATGAAGCTAGCCTGATTCAATCTTAGCCCTGTATTTTGCCCAATGGGTTGCTGATGCGGCGGACTTCATGGCCGTTGATTTTTCTAACCGTTTCTCGCGCTCTTTTGCTTGCCAGTTAAATATCGATAGTGAAATGACAAAAATGGCCATATCCTAATTTGTGCTCTAGACATTGCCACGCTGGCAGCTATTGATTTGTTGGGTACAAGCTCTATGAATAGAAGTTCGAGGTCGTGCAATTATTGAGACCTCTAAGCTGTATTTACAATTTTGGTAATAAAAAGAAAAGAAAATTCCATTGGACCACAATTTTCTTTTTTTCTTTTTCTTTTAAATGAATATTGAGAGTAGGATGTTTTTCAGGTTCCAACTGACCCAAGAAAATTTAAGGGGTCTATCCAAGAGGTGAATTTTTTAGTCAACCAATGTTATATAGTACAATGTACTCAAGGGATGGACATAAATACTACCTAATTCCTCAGTTTGATACATAAAGTGAAATTCATCTGAGTTAATTTACGAATTTAAAAATCGAGTACTAATTGGTTATATGTAGTCCAGCCACGTTCGGCATATGCCAAACACAAACATATGTGTCGAAAATCAGTTACCATATACCTTTAATTAATGAAGAACTAAATCGGACTCGGCCAAATAAATTCATGTTGAGGCCAAACAAATATCATCCAGCCCTTTTCAAATTGAAAAAAAAAAAGAAAAAAAAGTTCATTCTCATCTGATTGCTATGTTTGAGTCGTGAGTGTGTTGAATTAATCTTAACTTTTTAAAAGAAGCGGTTTTGATTATTCATGTCGGAACTCCTAACTTTTGAAATTAATCTGTTTTTTTTTGGGAAATAATTGGTTCTTGTGAAAAGAGATTATAAATTTAAAGATTATATTGTGTAATAATTAACAGATCGAGTTGAGTCAGCTATATGAGCACCATTCAGCGGTGTTAAGCTGCCTAACATAGACGTCCGCTGAAATGATACATTCTTTTACTCTCATTTTCTCAAAATAATTGTTCATTTGGATTTTCACCTTTTGTACAATTTTAATCAAAAATAAAAATTTGAAAAAAAACAATCATTTTTGTACAGAAAATATTCATTAATATAATGTAAACTTTTGACATTTATTTCCTTCATTCTGTCTAAAATAAAAGTGCTATCATATATATGATAAAAATATGCAGGAAAAAAATAATAACACAACATATAAAAAAAATAATGATCTTAGATGGTTCGATCTCTAGATAGGTGCATTTTTACGGGCGTATCACCGATGAATTTATGTGAGTGAAAATAAAGACGAATTAACCACGGAATCATATATTATTTTTGTAAAATTCGATGTCTCTTGTCTCTCAGTTTTGTTTGCCAGACATACTAGTTAATGAAATCGAAACGTTTTGATTAAATGATCATAAATTAGTTCGGATCATGGCCTTTATAATGTTACTTGAATTTTTATTCTGAGTAAAATTTGTTCTATAAATTAAAATCTAAATTTGAAGGGACTAAAAAAAAAATAACTTAGTTCATAAAAGATCTAACTAATAACCGATTCATAAATATAGAGTCATTTCATTTGACAAATTCATGGTATCATCCGACTATCTGTTATTGTTCTTTCGTACATTTTTATCGCGACATAGGTGAAATGTTAACGCCAACTGTTGTCGGGACGATCATTATTCAAGTGGGAAGATGAGGGCCAAAACATTTCAAAGAGATTATGAGGCTGAAAAATACCGATTCAGTACAGCTTGAGGATAAACTTCGCTATCATCTTTTAATTATTTTTTGTCTGTCTTTTCTTATTCTTGAAGGACCATTCCTTTTCTTTTGCCTAATTAATCCGATGATGAAGATGTGACATTTCCCAATTAACAGGTACGTAGTTGCCTACCTATCCATCCATCCATTTTTTCACAATAAAAATTTTATTCATATGTTAGAAATCGTCCAACTGTATTTGATAATACGAAAAAATAGTCTAAAACACATCTTACGACAGATTATTATTATCATATTATTGTGTTAATGAATAAACCTACATAGATCTATCCAAAATAAGACTGAATATATTACGTACCGAAATTCAGATCCGATTAAGAATATATCACTAATTATCATATGAAAACTACAAATTTAATAAATAGATTTATAACAACTGGTTCTTGTTGAAGAGTAAACAACGAGCTGTAAACATCACCAACGACATCACGAATACTGTAGACGGTATGCCCTATCCTCAACCAGTAGATTCAAGTTACTGAGGGAACACTACAATTAAAGTACCTTACTCGATCAATAGATCACCAGATTAATATATTGAAGGAACTTGTCGGGTTAATCCCCTTTATTAAAACAGAAAGAGAAAACAGAAAGAGAAACATAGAATACAATAAAACTAAGAAAATAATACCGTCCATCCATCCAGGATCCATCATATACCATCGTCCACACACATTAGCACGTGTTCATTTGTTCTTCTGAAATTCATACATCAAACTTTTGTTTTTTGATGTTCACATGTCCAACAGTTTTGTGATTACCAAAAACAATATGTAAATGTCCCCTATGCAAACATACATCATACACCTATAAAAGGTCATGTCTGAAATAGATAAAGTTTGTATAGGATTAAAAAGGCTAAATGGTTGATCCATATTTCTTTTCATGATTTAGAAAAATGATTTGCTGTCGTAAAATAAATGCTGCATATTGAGGAAAGGAAAACCCGTCAGGAAAATGTCATTTTGCGCCTCATGGATGTTATCGATCATATAGTAAACGTGTGGTGCGGACAAGTGTTGATCCGTTTAATGCATTAACATCCCCAAAAAAAGTTTAATGCATGCATTAAGCTGCACTATCAAAGTGAAGTATGTGTATTTTGTGATGTAAATATTTTGGATATCTCTTAGGAGAAAAAGAGATTAATTAAATCCTGGAGAGTAAGCCAACAAGAATGTTTAAAAAATGGAAGAGGAAACAGTCACCATTATCCCTAAATTAATTTTAGGTTTAGCCTTCTTTGTTGTTATACTTGTATTACATATGCAAGGATGAAACCGTAGATCCAAAAAAGAAAACAAAAATCACTTTAGATAAAAACTCCATAAATTAATCACTTTAGCTAGCATAAATTGGATTTATTTACAGGTTGGAGACAAAATCATAAACGATATCTTTTTAGATGTAAATTTTAAGAAAAAACAAAACTCATAGCCTTTTACACTTTTTAAAATTTGTAAGTTTTTAATTATTACTTTATATATATTTTTTTAATTTTGTGTGCTGGTCCTGAATTGAGATCGAAGAAAGTTATATCATTTAATAGAATTTATTAACTTTTGGATGATGCTATTATTTTTATTGACGAGATGGAGAATAAATCATAGATGAAATCTTTTGAGGTGTAAATTTTAAGAAAAAACAGAACTCAATGACCTCTTACATTTTTAAACATTCTTAATTTTTGAATTATTAATTTATCAATTATGTTTAATTTTTCCACTGTCTCGAGTTGAGACTGAAAAAAATTTTATCATTCAAGAAAATTTATTAATTTATAGACTAATAATTTAAGAAATTTTTACCTTAAAGGGTGCGATGGAAAATCAATCACATTTCTTGTCAAATAAGTATCTTACGTACGCAAATTTCATCAAGGTTGGGCTCAGCATTCGGATTGGCCTGTTAAAAATTTATGGACTCGAAGTTCTTTTTTGTTAAATTCAAGACTTTAGGACAAAAAAGTATAGCTAACTTGATTGCGATTAGTGCCCAATTTTCAGGTACATGCCCCTTCAGTTCGAAATTTTCTTGTCAAAACCAATTTCTTGCCAAAGAGTAAAATGATAATTCTTCATTTATATTTTTAAAATTGAAAAATCTAAACTGTATGTATAATTATCTTGAGACAGAAAAAGCATTCAATTAGTGTACATCTAGAAGTATTGAAGACCGATGCAACTTTAACGAAACTGGAAAAATTTACCGCTGTTGACCAAGTCGACAAGCCGCTCTTGGTTTTTTTTTTCCGATAATAACTAGTTTTTTATTTTTTATTTTTTGAAAGATAATAGTTAATATTTTATTGAAGCATGAAATATCATGTTAGCACGGTAATGGGCCAAATCATTAATGAGACACTTTGTCATGTCCTCAGAGGTAAAATTGTAGATGCTGATAGTATATGGACTTATTTGTAGTTTTAGAATTTTGTGGGACTATATAATCTTTTGGGTCTGTAAAATCATTATGCAAAGATTGATATTAAAATTGTATTTTTAGAAAATGTGGAGTCTCTCCCAAATGCAGGGCTTGGCCCGTCACTTTCCTTCGCCGGTTCGCCGGATTCCGCCCAACGCCGGTCACTATCTTGCCTGTAGCTGACACAGTTCTCCACCCGGCCACTTCTTCAATGATTATTATTTTTATGTTGTTCCCAAAAATTGACCCCCTGTCCGAACTTGGTCTCTAGACATTCTCATAATCCAAATATAGTCAGTAAAGTTGTAAGTTTTACTATTTACAGTCCCATATTATTCATTTTGTTTCATTAGTTAAAGATGGTGAACGTCTCTTCATGATTATGATTGTACCGACTTTGTTTCTTATTTAATGGAATTGAAATTTTCCAAAAAAAAGGTTACACAAATAATTAATCCCTCCGTGCTGAAATTGTTGTCGAGTTTGGATTTTTCATATTTAGTTTTAATTGTATTAAAAATAAAATCTTAAATTACACAATAATTTTGGAGTAGAAGGAATAATATAAATTTATCCCCCAAGTTGTGGATCACAAGTAAATCGCGCTATGAGAAAGAAACATCTTATTCGTTTTTTTGTTTCTTTTAATATTCTTATTTGATTTTTTATTTACATGTAAATAACATGTTAAACAGACTCCCTCTAAGCTGTTATTTTATAGTTCAACAACATGAATTATTTTTTATGCGACCAAGGTAGTATGTAGAGGAGTAAATTTTTACTAAAGCGGTTAACTTTATGGGAGAGAAAAACATGCATAGAATGGAACCTTATGAAAACACATTTGCATTAATTCAACATTAGTTACCGATGA